TGTCAGTAGGAGATGGGTGTTGTCCTCATATCTTTCTTGCGAGTTTCTCAGAGGCATCTAGTTAGTTGCTGTGAGAAGGAGGATCCTGGACTAGAGAGGCCATTGCTGTGATTCAGCAGAGTTCTTGCCATCCTATGACTTTTAAATCACCAGCCTAATTTTTGAGATGGCAAACATTTCAAGGGACTGCATTCCTTTGGCAAAAACCTGTCACAGATCCATTCTGTCATCCCTTGGGTGTCTCTCTCTATCTCCCCTCTCTTTTTCTTTCTCTTAATTCTCCCCATTCCACACATGGTGTGATGGAATCATAGAAGACTAGGGCTAAAGGGGACCACACAAGTAACTGAATTCAGCCCTCTATGAAAGCTAGAAATCTCTACCTAAAGCATCCCTGACAAGTGACCATAGAACCTCTGTTTAAACACCTCCAGTGTTGGAGGATTAAACCCCTACTATTTTTGCAGCCCATTTCACTATTGAGAAGCTCTCACTCTCAGGAAATTCTTCCCAATGTTCAGTTTAAATCTTCCATCTTGTAATTTAATTCCATGACTTCAGGTCCTACTCTCTGGATCTTCAGAAAACAAGCTTGCTCTGTCTTTCACATGACAGCCCTTTTAATATTTGAAGATAACTGCCATCTTGTCCAGACTAAACATGCCAAGCTCTCTCAACCACTTCTTGTAGAAACTTTTTGAAATCTTTCTTTGATTGTGGTTCCCAGACCTGGAAACTGTATTCCAGGTGAGGTCTGACGAATACAGAATAGATTATTACTATTACTTTCCTTGATTTCCTTGAATTAATTCTGTTGATGCAGACGAGTATCACTTTGTTTTTTTTGCTGCCACGTAATACTGTTGACTCATGTTTAGCTTGCAGTCTATTAACAGTTAGACACTTAGAGTCTTTTCACTTATACAAGCACCAGGCCATCTGTCTTCTACATATCGTTATAGATCACAAGCTGAATATGAGCCAACTGTGTGATGTGGCTACAAAAAAGACAGATGCTATTTTAGTCTGCATTAATAGAAGTAACTTGCTTCTAAATACTTCAAAAACTAAGGAGCTTGTAATAGATTATAGGAAGAAGGGGATGGATATTCCACCATTATTCATCAGTGGAGACTGGGTAGAAAGGGAGAGGGTTTTTTTTGTGGTTGTTTTTTTTGTGTGTGTCCATATTGAGGAGAACATGACTTGGAGCGTAAACACCTCAGAGGTACTGAAAAAGGCTCAGCAGAGATTGTACTTTCTAAGGATGCTTAGGAAGAATAACATCATTCAGAGACTGTTGGTGTCCTTTTATCTATGCTCCATAGAAAGTATATTGTCATTCTGCATGTGCATGTGGTATGCAGATTTTACAGTGGCCAAAAGAAAATAGCTTCAGAGGGTGATTAATACAGTATAGAAGATTATTGGGTGTCCCCTCCCCACCTTAGAGTAACTGTACAGGTCCGGCTGTCTTTAAAAAGCACAAAATATTATAAAGGACACCTTCCACTCTGGACACTCTTTGCTTGAACTACTGCCATCAGAAAGACGATATAGATCTATTAAAACAAGGACAAATAGATTTAAAAACAGTTTTTATCCAAGGGCAGCGAATTTGCTAAATTCAGTAAGGGGGTGGTGGGGGCTAAGGTAGGGAGAGGAAGGGGTGGATAGGCTGTGGGGGTGGCTGATTTTTGGGAGTGGGTGGCTGCCTATCGGCCTGCTGATCAGCAGAATGGCTTTTTTTCTTCATATGGGGGTGTCAACAGGGGTGGTAGTGGTGGGTGGGATGGAGGGGGCAGCACGGCAGCAGTGGGAGGGTGCACGCAGGGGGTGGCGACAGCAGTGGGGGGTTTAGTAACCCCCACGAATTGACAGATACATTATTAGTCAGTTCATGGGGCAGCTTTGTGTTTCATCAACTTTTGACGACTCATGAAGCAAGACAACTCGCTAAAATGAGGAGTTGTCCCCATCTCTAATTCCAACAAATTGGAACAAGGATGATCAGGGGGCTCAGTTAATGGGGCAGCTTTGTGTTTCATCAACTTTTGATGACTCATGAAGCAAGATAACTCGCTAAATTGAGGAGTTGTCCCCGTCTCTAATTCCAACAAATTGGAACAAGTTCAGAGGAGAACAACAAGGATGATCAGGGGGCTGGAAACCAAGCCTTATGAGGAGAGACTGAAATAATTGGGCATGTTTAGACTTGAGAATAGAAGACTGAAGGGAGATATGATAACACTTTTCAGATACTTGAAAGGCTGTCATACATATGAGGGACAGGATCTGTTCACGATCAAGCCGGAGTGCAGGGCACACAACAATGGGCTCAAGTTACAGGAAGCCAGATTTTGTTTCAATATCAGAAAAAACTTCTTAGCTATTAGAGCAGTGGGGCAATAGAACCTCGAGAGGTGGTGAGTGCTCCAACATGGAAGTAGTCAAGAGAAATGTAGACAACCACCTGTGGCTAATATCCTTTGATTTGTATTCCTGCACTGAGCAGAGGGTTGAACTCGATGGCCTTATAGGCCCCTTCCAACTTCATGATTTGATTCTATTTTACATCTGTTTATCTGATTTTTTTTTCTTGCCTAAATATAGAATTTTATGTTTTTTTCCTCTTGAAACTCATTTTGTTTGTTTTGGCCCAATTATATAGTATGTTAAGGTCTTCCTGAATCTTGATTCCATCTTCCAAAGAGGAAGGCACACTACAGTTTAGTGTTATCTGAAAGTGTAATGAACACCCTCTCCAAATCCTTGTCTAAGTTATTTATGAAAATGCTGAACAACATTGAGCCTAAGACAGAACCAGATGACACTTTACTGCTCTCCATGATGATGAGGAAATGTTGGTAAGCACACTTTCAGTACAGCCTGCCAACTGGCTACAAATCCACTTAACAGTAGCATTATCTAGTCAATATTTTGCCAAGGTGCCCACAATAAGATCAACTTACCCTTTTCCAGATGTCTTGCTGGAATCAAGGTATATTACATCCACAACATTCCCTTCATCAACTAGGGTTGTTGTGACTAAGTGAAAACAAGAGGTAAGATTTGGCACTAGAGAGAAACCTCTGCTGCATCTTAGGAAACATGATGTTCTTTTCTAAGTGCTTGCAGACTGCCCGATCAATTATCTGTTCTGGGACCCTTCGAATTTGGTGTCAAATTGACCACTTGATAGTTTTCTGGATCCTCTTTCTTCCCCTTTTTGAAAATGGGATGATATTTGTTGTCTTCTAGTCAGGGGCATCACATCTTCTCCAAGAGTTCTCAAAAATTATAGTCAGAGACTCTTCTGTTAGATCCACAAGTTCCTCTGTAGTTCATCTGGCCCTGAATAATTGAACCTTTTTTAAAGCAGCTAAGTGTTTCTGTTCCACTTCTTTGCCTATTGTGGGCAGCAGCTCCTTGCTTTTTTCTTTGTTGCTTTCCCTAAATTGGGCACTGCCTTCTTTTTGGGAGAAGATAGTGGCAATGTAGATGTTTAGCAGTCCTGTCTTCTCTCTGTATTGAGGATTTCCCCCATCCTTTCACCAAGCAGTTTTATTGTTTCATCATTGCTCCTCGTGCTTCAGGTATATCATTAAAAAAAAAACTTTGTGTGTCTGTGTGTGTGTTTAATCTGTCTTTCAAGTGTGCACTCGTTTTGAGCTTTAGCCTTCTCAACCTTCTCTCCACAAGTGTTTCAGAACCATAACTAGAGCAGGGCAACTGGAATATTGTTGCAGGATGTCAAAATCTAGAGGCAAATGCAGGGGGTGAGTTTTAGGAAGATAAATGGCAATATGTTCAATCCCTATTCAATTTCCTATTGTTGTGTGTGTATGTTGTGGTTTTTTAAAGAATCAATGTTCTCTTTATATGGCAGGGGGCACAACATTTTCCTCTTTTGATGGTTCACATTCATGTTTGAGGGCAAAATGTGTGGGAGATGGTGCTACAGTATTTGTCCAAGAGGTGAAGATTCCTGGTGGACACCTCTGAAGCATTAGCTGCTCATTTGTACTCCTCCATGATACACCCTTACTGGTGTCCTTGATGAGAAAGGAAACGGTGCAAAAACTATCTCAGTCAGTGGCAGCCTCAACAGAAATTAATGTTTTTAAGTATAGCAGATCCCAAAGGAGTTTGTGGTTTGTTGCAGAATTTCTGCATCAAACCTTGCCACTGATTTTCAGCAATAGGTCACACTGTGAATATTTGTGACAGCAGAAATACTTAATTTACTTTTTCATGGAGGTAGGGAGAAGGCACAAAAAAGGATCCTGGGGGCCCAGTTTGCCTATCTTTGGCCTAGAACAGTGCTTCCCAATCATAGGTAACCAAGGTGTTCTTGGACAGCAGTTGAAAGCTTCTGGGATTTGCAGTTCAGGAACACCTGGTTACCCAAGATTGGGAACCACTGGCCTATACCATTCTGTTCTGGGGATGATATTGCTTCAGCCATTGTGTTTGAAAATTTAGTGTCTCAGGTGGCTTCCCTCACTGCATTTCCAGTCACTTTTCTTTTCAGCTTGCTCTGGTAGACATTTAATCAAGCCTCTGAAAGGTATGGGATATGCCAAGGCCCATATGAAAAGAGGCCAAGGGCTACCTGTGTGTCATATGTCACTTACTCCTGAGATACGGTTAGAATGTCACTCACTCTGGAGTGGAACACAATTCAACATTTGAACATCTGTAGAAGATTTTTCATTTTTTAAAGATTTTTCCTGATATCCTTTTTTTCTAGGGAGCTAGTATACAGATTGAAATCTTTGAGGCGTAATTAATTAGTTTGAAGAATATTTTTAAATTTCCACAGCTAAAAGACAGAGGAGAGAGCACAAATCACGTTTAGACTGACATCCAAATCAGCTGTGTGCTGAGGTGGATTTGTGGGAGGAAGAAAAGATACATACAGTTTTCCTGCTCTTGAAGTATCTAAAACAAAATATGTACATCCAGTAGTCCATACTGCTCTTATTTTCTTATAACAGGCAATGGTCAAAGCAGCAATCCTGGAAGAACAAAAAAGAAGTGAGAAAGCGGTAGAAGAAGCTGTAAAGCAAACTCAAGAAGAATTAATGGAATATATTAAGGAACAGAAAAGGGTAAGTGTTGCTTGCTCTTGCGCAACAGTGGCATATGTGGCAGGAACTGTGGCACTAGAGAGTCCCTGTTGGAGATAGAACAACATTATTATTTCCAGGTCTTAACCAGTTCAGAAGATGACTACTAAAATTTCAGTTAATCTCAATGAACAACCTCATTGGATGGCCATTCAAGCATCACACAGCAAGAGTGGGGAACAGGTAGTACTCCCGTTACTGTTGGACTACAACAAGAATTCTCATCCCTCACCATTGGCTATGTTGCTTTGGGCTGATGGGAATTGTGATCCAATAAGAGCGGAAAGGCCACATGTGCCACAGCCGCATACCATGAGTACTACAAAATGTTCTTAATCAGAAATTAAACAAAGGAGAGTCTTCTTCTGGAAATGTGAAATACTGTACCAGGATATTCGTAATTGTGTCTAGCCACTTCAAGCAAAAACAACTTGTGGAATGCCGAGAGAGCTGGTACTTACCTCTCTGGTTATGTAACTGCTTACTCTCTTCTCAGAATGTTGGTAAAGGTCATTTTATTAATTTCTAACCTGGCATTCATTCTCTCAGAATTACATTCATTAGCATGTTTAAAAGGTTTATGTTCTAACAACAATATTTAAGAATGTGCAGAAGTAAAGTTCTAAGTAATGTGTATGAAATTGTTTGGTGCCCAGTACTTTCAAAATGAGCCATGTTTTTTGAATGTTACAGATAGTGCATGTTGTTTATGGGTTTTAAATGGTTTGTGTTATTTTTGTTCTCAAGATAGGGAACAGTCTTAGGTTGGCTCCTCGTTTAGTATAGAGAGTGGATGAAACTAGTGCAACTATGATGTTACCATACTATTAAATGTAGGAATTGTTCAGAGGAACACATCCTTGCTCTCTAAGAAGGCTCCAGGATGTTACCTACCCTTAAGTGTAATTCATTAAGCTGAGAAACAGCCTAATCACAGAGAAGGGTGGAATGGGACATTTGATCAAAGATGGGTGAGGCTGTGAGGAAGAAGCATTTTCCCAACAGGCAAGCTCTCGCAGGTCTAGTGTTCTGGGGGCACTATCCTTGTGATATTGGATAATAAAGGGAGCCTGAGTCATTAAGGATGTCTAATCAGAACAGCATGAGCCTTTTTGGCTAATCATGTAGATTTGCTAATACTATTGATAAGAAAAAGATAACTGTACTGGTCTGTAAGTAAAACAAAATCTGTAGTTGGGCATACCTTTATAACTTTTATAGTGAGGTCTACAGCGGGTCTCAGTTTGAGGAAGAAGAGTTTGAGAGTTGAAGTTGATTCCCCACCCTACGTTTGGAGTAAAGAAATGGGGGGAGGAAAAACAAAGAAACAAATTGAACTTCCTGACTGCTGGAAGTTGGCTTCCTATGCCCCCTCCTTTCCTTTGAGAGAAGGTGGTGTCCAAACTGTAAAAACTCAAGAAGCTTGTACTCACTTTGTAGCTGACTTTGCAAACTTAAGCATGAACCAACAGAGAGAGCTTTTCCTTTCCGGACACCGTCATTATTACATCCTTTTAAAAGTGAACTTTTATTTAAAAGAGAAGAAAATTGCATTTGATGTGGTATTTTCAGATTGTTAGTCATAATAAGCAATTGTGAATTATAGACACACAGAGAATTACTTCTGTGGAAAGAAATCACAGCAGCATAAGAAACTCACTTGACAGGAATCCTCCAGAAGAATTTTTTTTAAGAAAATAAAAGCCCTAATGATATCTAGCTGTAAATCATAACCTGTTTGGATCTATAAGTGTTAATTTGTTTGAGACCTCATAGCCATGAACCTTTTTGGAACTTTTCTGCTTTCTTCTTCCATCTCCTTTTTTGTACCTATTATTCTGATGAAGAGTTCAGGAGAACTCAAAAGGACTGAACACTTTTGTGGCTTTTTGGTTTATGTTAATATGTGGTAAATATTGCATGAAAGATATTCCTTTTCCAGTCTGTGTTGTATGTTTGATACCAGACTATTGGTATTAAATAGTCTGGTATCAAACATACAACAGTGACTTTGGATATAAGCAGGTGCTTCATTTAATATTTGGTTAGCAGTCTCTATTCATTACAGGAAGTTCAACAAGAATCCCTTCTTCCTACTGAAATGAATGGATTGCGTCCTGTCTTTTGTACTTGATCATCATTTTAATGATTGTAGCTGAGAAGGTCAAAGAAATATCATTGGAGCACATGCCAATTTTTTTATTTTTCTATCAGATTAACAGGATAATGGATACAATATTTATTTGGTTAAATCACTAATTTGTCCCATTGCAAGTATATCAGTTACAACTGTAATGTCGAAATAATTGGAAGACATGTTAGTAAAATTCATATTATAACATTAAAGTAAAAGACATGAATTAAATTTACTCATGCTTACCTCCAAATCAAATGAAACTGTTTCACAGTAGATCTCAAAATATTCCTATATGCAGTGGACACCCTTATCCATGGGATCAGTATCCACTGATTAACTTATCCACAGTCTGAAAATATTAAAAATATTAAGGAAAAAATCCTGGAAAACCTATTTGCCCATGTATGACCAGAACCAGCCACTAGAGGGAGCCAGAGACTGTGTTATGAATACTTGTTATAATAAAGTAGACCCTCAACTTACAGATGGCTCCACTTACAGACTTTTCGAGTTATAGACTTCTCTGGCTGCAAAATTTAGGTTCGACTTGCAGCTAGAGAATCAACCTACAGACTGGAAAAAAACCCAAAATGGAATAAAAACGTCTGGTTACGAATTAATCAGTTTTCAATGCACTGTAGGTCAATGGAGCCTCGACCTACAAACTTTTTGACCTGCAGCCACTGTTCCAATATGGATTAATTCCATAAGTAGAGGGTCCACTGTACATAGCGTAGTCTCTGGCAACCCTTGGTTGTAATGCATGTGAAAATATTTTTTCTGGT